ATTATAAATTTTATTTATTGATAAAGAAAACCTTTTCCCAAAGAGTATTTGTGGTTATCCTACAGGGCCATCCCTTTTGGCAAAACTAGCTATTCACAGAAGAGAGTACGATCACAACTACATATTTTCTTTACATGCTTTCCCTCAATGATCAACATTTTAAAATTTGTTATATTGGTTTCACTAAATTCTGGTGTCAAAAGACTCTGTATTTATGGCATCTTTATGGATATTTTATGCTACCAGTGTCAATATGCATCCACTGCTAAACAGAGGACCATTAATGTATTTTTCAATTAAATGTCTAATGAAAAGACCACGTGGTAATGCTCAGTAAATTCTGATATTTCACAATGGTGTTTTGATCACTTTTACATGTCTAGTGTCATAAACTCATCTCTTAATTAAAGCTGTTCTTATATTTAATTCAGAATCCCTTATAATCCAAACTATATGGCAGTTATACAGTAAATCTCCCATCTGCCTTTCAGTCACCACCTTTAAGCACTACATGTTCATTCTAGCTAAATGTAGGAACAGTTTCCTCTCCTTCAAGACCATATCAATTACATTTAATGAGTTTTATACATTTATTCTTCAGATGCAGATTTTGTAATGGTAGATTTTTACCACCAGAAAATTTTTTACTTCCTTTGATCATATGGTGAATTACATTTCTTTGTGTAAGACTTCCTCAAAAAGGGAAACATCATTAGGACATTGACTTTCTCTTTTCAGGATATAGACAAAATAACTCAGTAGATAACCAGAATAAGTTATTTGAAAAGAAAGCAAAGTGTAAAGAGAGTACTGCCTTAGTGAATTATTTTGGCAGACCTACAACCAAGCCTTTATTTTAACTGCTTGATTTAAAGACTCACAGTGATGGTAAATACAACACTTTTGGTAATGCTTCCACCTAACTACTACCATCATTAACAAGATGCTTAATTTCTCCTCCCCATCAAAATCTCCTCCCAAGAGGCAGGGATGGCTCAGTCCTAAGAAGTATTTGCCTAATCTGCTATTGAAAAGTTCCCCTTTGTAGGCCATCTATTCCAATACTTATCTTTAGGAAGTTTCCCTAACATTTAACCTAAATCTTTTTAGCTGCAATTGAAGCCTATTATCTCCTGTCCTCTCTACAGGGATTACATAGAATAATTTCCTTTCCACGGTAGCCTTTAACATTCTTGATGATCATTAATATGCCTCCTTTTACAAAGTAATCTCTTCTTTAAACTAAACAGCTCCAATTCTTACAACCTTCAAATATTATGCTTTCTAGATCATCAGTCACCTTTTTTGCTCTCCTCTGTGCTCCCTTAAGATGCCTTGTGCCTTTTTTTCAAGGGCAATTACCAAAACTGGGCAAAGGATTCAGGCTGAAGACCTGCTCAGGCTGAATAGAAAATGAGTCTGTCTTGCATACAACAGTCCATTTTATATGTTTTACAGCACACTTCAGTCCTTTTCAATAGCGTGGCACTATCAACTTGCTCTCAGCTTTCTAGTTACTATGTTTCCTAGATTTTAAGCTGCCTAAGTGCTACCTAACATCTTGTATTCGTGCAACTAACAATTTGTGAGAGATACAAACCACTTACTATAATAATCTTTTTTTCCCTGAGATCTCCCAAGGTAAAAATATTTTGTTTACCTTGCCCTGGTTTTTAACTTCTATGAACTGACTCAATCTACCAATCCAGCACAAAACTATCCTACCAAAGAAAAAAAGGAACACTTTTCTTCCAATTTAAACTGAATCAGATCAGTAAAAGCTCCAACATAGACTAGTGGAAGGGAAGAGAGTGAGCCACTCAGCTCTTCACTTTGACAACTGCACATGAAAATGCAACCTTAGCACGTAAGTTTGCATTTTTCTTTATTTTTTCCTTTCATCTTGCCCTTCCCTGTCCCATGTATTTTTTTTAGTCTGCAAATTTAATAAAGGTAATCTGTTGTTTTCTCCAGATCACTAATAAACAGATTCCCAGGAATCCTGCTTTCCAGTTTGATTACAAATAATTCTCTTAAAGCATTTTGTTAACATTTTGTTAATGTCTCTGGGACTGCTTTAGCCAACTCCCTAATATGTTTTAGTGAATGCCATCAAGTTCAAATGATTTTAATGTACACAATTCATCTAAGTAGTCTCTAGTTCTTTGTTCTGTACCTGAACGCTTCCATCTGTGTCACTGATGATATGTAACCGTATCACCAAAGTTGATCGCTATGCTGAAGACAGAGTGAAAACAATCATTCAAGTTTATTTCCTCTTTGTTTAGCCAAGGACAACCCACTCTCTTTTTGCTCATTCGTCTCCTGTTACTGTATTCTCATTAATCATTTGCCCTTCACCATTTGCATCTCGTTTATGTCTTTTTAATTTTGTCTTTTATTTTTAGAATTTTTAGTTAGATACTCCAAGAACGTGTTGGATAGGTTCTTTCCTGCCATATATTTTCCTCAACACGTACTGGAACAGGCCCCTTCCTGTGCTCTGACAGTAATCACAAAAAGGAAACCCAAGGTTATTCAAGATTATTTTCACCATTAGCTGTTACCTACAGATTTTCAACAGGTTTATCTCCTACCTGCTATTTATTTCAAAGAAAGTAAAAAAACCCAACAATCCTGGTATATAAGCTCCCTTTCCTTGAATAAAAGGTAACCTTCAAAACTGTACCATAGTAGTTACTATGAGTATTGCCCAAGTATTACTGTCACTGTAAAGGTGGATTTACTCAAATTACCCCGCAGTAAGTCCTCTGACTGAACTGGCACCTGAACAGGGATAATGTTTAAGCGATAGTATTACAACTGCCATACATGGCACTGTTCAATATAATTTATCATATATGTACATAAGAACTACTCTTTACCTTTTCTACACTTCTACTTGCAGTTCTTTTTTTTTACATGGTCAGTGACAGCATTCATTATCTTGTCAATGAGAGCTTACATTCATTCAGTGATTGAGCACAATTCCTAGAACTTTTTCAGAGCCACTACTTTGTAAAATTTGGTGCCAGATTTCACATACAAGTTCAAGATACTGTATTTTTTATTTTGCCAAACTGGCTGCTGATCAAGCTCACCTGTTATTCAAGAGAGTCCATAAGTTATTCTAAAAATGATGTCATAATTTCTACCACTCTTCTAAATTGTGTATCATCTGGAAATTTTTCTGAATCTTGCAGATTTCTTATGATATTGAGAACAGGACCAAGAATCCACTCCAGAAATGTGTCTAGTAACTCCAGAGTGCTTAAAAAAGTTCTTTTTTTTTTTCTTCAGTTCAGCTAATAAAGGGTGTTACATCCACCTGCACTAGAACACACACCTTACCCACTATTATAAACTTAGCAATTTATGCACATTTAGAAAGAAATAGAATATAAACTTTGTCTGACAAAGAAGTGGGCATCTGAAGATCCCCTTTTGCTAAGGTTTATGGAAAATAAACATGAAACTGACTTGCTGAATTTGAGTTCCACTGGTGTCATAAGATGCTTAAAAATTTGAAGTCACTAGCTTTGAGTTCAAAGTTAACCATCTGCATTTAAGTACCTTTCCAAGTTGAAATGGCAAGAAGACTTTCCAAGTCAGAGGTCAGAACAGGTATGTCCCCACCAAAGAATTCAATCATTTGCCATGATATTTCAAATCCAGAAGCTTGCCCAACTACACAGATGTAACTAAAGAACGTTTGGAAGGACAAATACTACCTGATTTGAAAGAACAAATGCTACCTGCACAATTTATTTATACACTGGCATCCTTACATTACTACCATTCTTAAGGAAAACTAATTTTCCTGGGAGAAAAAAATGTACATTTCAACAATATAGTGTCCACATCTATCCACGTGAAACACAAAACTACTAAAAAAACATTAAAACTGGAATGTTAACTGGAGATCTACACAACACCTACTATAATATACTCTTACCTTCCTTTTCTTTGGGTTTTAAAGCTCTTTCTTCTTTTTTCTGCTTTGCTTCCAGCAGTTCACGTTTCAGCTGTCGCGCTTCTTTCCGTAGCTCCTCACTGCAAAGAGAAAAATATTTACAAGAATTTAATCTTCTGCGAATGTAAAGCCACTCAGGAGAAAAAGAATCAAAGTTAATGGGCAGTAAATCTCTGATATAAACAAAGGGAATGTACTGACTTACTGATGCTAGGAACATAGCTTAAAAATCAACTAGAATCTTAGAAAGTTCATATTTTCGTCAGCAGAGACAACAGAAGAATGTAACAGATGTCTTATTTTAAGACCCCATTAGAAATATGTCAAGGACATGAACAATAAAACAAAGAACCCCCACTGGTATTTTGAATTTAACATTGTAATATTTAACCATGAGAACCACACAAAGCTAGTTTGAAACAGAGGCACTGCCAAATAAATATTACAGGTGTTATAAAATTCAGCTTACGGAACTAATAAATCCTGGATTTCTTAGCTGGACAGGCAATGTAACTGTTAAGTGACAAAGACATGATATGTATGTAAGCATAAATTATTATATATGAAAGTTCATTTCATTTTACAAATTTTACAAAACAAAAAGAATCACGTGATAACACTAGAAAGGAGAATCCAAAATTTGCAAGCCATTGTGTCAATATCAAATGAAATATCTGTCTTCATAGAATCACAGGTTGGAAGGGACCTCTGAAGATTATCCAGTCCCGCTCCCCTGCTTAAAGCAGGGCCAAACAGAGTAGGCTGCTAAGAGCATTGTCCAGTCAAGTTTTGCATATCCAAGGACAGAGACTTCACAACCTCTCTGGGCAACCACTGCTTGACCTCCCTCAACGCAAAATAACTCTTTTGTATGTTTAAATGGAATTTCTTGAATTTCAGCTTGTGCCTATTTGTGCCAATCAATGGTTACCAGTGGAAAAGAACTGATAATTGCTTCAAGTTTTTCTGGTGTTAGAATCTGTATTTCCCACTTTTAAAAAAAAAAAAAAAGTTCTGATTGATTTAGTATTCATCAAAGTCAATGAATAGCAGAAATTATTACAATGCAGGAACGTGGCATGCAAGCATCTCCCTGCAGCTGTTTTATGTACCTCAATTCTCAACTGTGATACCATTACTCACACCACAACAGCCTTTTTTAAGCAAAGACTTGGAATTGTGGGGTGATGACTTCTTTTGAACTTCATTTTCATTTGTATGTATGCACAAATACAGAGCTCTGTATTTGTGAAAAACACTAGAAAAACACGACTGCCATTGCAAAGGTATTCAAAGAACCAGCTACAGCAGCAGGTCTTAATTTTCAACAGCATGGCAGAAGCTACACTAAGCCAGAGTAACAGCTTTTACATAAGACTACATTTCTACTTTTCTATACTGAGAAGAAAATCATCGGAGAAGGATAAAGAGACATTTTTAACCCAAGTAACTCCATTGCTTTTATATAAATTGGGGATAGTATGGTAAGCAAGCTGCATCACAACACTAGTATACTGCAATACTCATCTAGTATACTGCAACATAGAATCATAGAATCGTTAAGGTTGGAAAGGACCTCTGAGATCATCGAGTCCAACCTGTTAACCTAACTGCCTGGCCCACCTATAAGTCATGTCCCTAAGCACCACATCCACAAATTTTTTTAACACTTCCAGGGACTGTGATGGTACCGCTTCCCTGGGCAGTCTGTTCCCATGCCTAACCACTCTGTGAAGAAATTTTTCCTAATATCCAATCTAAATCTCCCCTGGCACAACTTGAGCCCATTTCCTCTCATCCTATCACTTGTTACTTGGGAGAAGAGACCACCCCCACCTCCCTAGAACCTCCTTTCAGGTAGCTGTAGAGAGCAATAAGGTCTCCCCTCAGCCTCCTCTTCTCCAAGCTAAACAACCCCAGCTCCCTCTGCT